AGTTGATTTTCTTCCTCTTTTTTTTTTTGGCAGCTGGCCAGTAAAGGGATTGAACCTTGGACTTATCAGTGTTATCAGGACTACACTCTGACAAACTGAGCCAGCTGGCCAGCCCATGGTTTGACATATTAATTAAACATGGATTGTCATGCTGATATAGACATGAGAGTAACACCATCTAGCAAAAGGGATGCTAGCCATGGGGACAGACCAATGAGCTCTGTCGGTTCACGTCCTAATCCTGTCACTTCTCAGCTGGGTCGTATCAGGTGGGTGATGCTACTCCCTGAACCTCAGGTTCCTCTTGAAAAGGGAGGGCTGCAAAAGTTCAAGCAGCTAAGAATTTTGAAGTCCTGGAGCAGCTCCTGACATGGAGCAATCACCAATAACTGTTAACTGACTAAGATGATATTTTGACTTTCAGGGAAAATGCAAGTTGGAGCAATATTTAAAGAAATTTAATATTTTGCATAATATGGACTTTTCCACACTAACCTTATTATCAATTAATTAACTTTGACTTCTCTTTTGTTTTCTGGCAACACTTTACTTCAATTCTGGCCTGTTTATAATTACCCACAAACGACTCGTACTTTGATATTAGACGACCTTCCTGAAGTTTTCATCTGCTACCTGCTGTTCTTTCTTCCTTGGTTGCTTAAACTTACTGGAACCATTTTCCAGGATTTGCTAACAGGCTCCGGAAGCAATTTCCAGCAGCTCCTACTCCAGCTCTTCCCATCGTTGGCCTGTATCTCCTGAGAAACTTCATAGTTGTGGGAAAAGGAGAACAGCTCACGGTTCTGTTTCCATCTCTCTCTGTCCCAGCCGATCTTGTCGGGAATCGATTTCTGAAATCACTGCTTTGATCACGCCTGCTTCCTACACTTTTCCTCCCAGTTCTTCCTCTTTATCCGTGTTAAGAGGAATTTTAAAAAATGAACAGTGTATTTTGCAGCCTACCCTGGCTCTCTGCAGGAGAAACTGTTTCATAAAAGAGATGTCTACCAGCACCAGCCCCAAATTGTTCACATGATGAGGACGGTTTTTAGACATAGTCACCCAGTGGTTTCCCCATCACCAAAGGGATGCTATCGCCTTACCCAGACCGAAGTCTGTCCTCACCTAACACACACAATCCTGCAGATGTGTGGCTGGGTGAAGGAAGAAACCCCCCAAACCCTGGAGCTGGCTCAGCTCTGAGCTGGTCTCTGTGATGTGAGCAGCACGTCCTGGAGACGAAGACCTGAAAATGACTCAAAGGTATCCGTGATCATTTCACTCCTTAAAAATTAACATGTAGACCTGTCATCTTGAGGCAGGAGATGACTCTGTTGACCTGCTGAATTGAATGATCACTTATTGGACAATGAAATGAAAGATGTGGTGCCTGGTAAGCAGCTGGAAGAATGTTATAGGGAACCCAAGACAATGCACAACAGGTGTGACTCCACCAGCCACTAGATGTCACTGTTTGCCACTGCTTGGTTGACCAGATGCTCCGTGGGGTGTGAGTGCTGTAGAGTCGTGTTTTAAGTCAGTAAATTTCTTGCTAAGAAGCTAAAAATTGCTCTTAATTTAAAGGAAGTCTAATCAACAGTTTGCTCTTTTAAAGGAAGTACTCAAGTAAACAAATTAATATCAATTTTCTTGGCATTTAAATCTGAAATCTTTGCTAATGAAAGCAGCTCCAAATAAATTCAGATGTGTCCTATTCATTAGAGATGAAAAATGTATACATAGGGGATGGAACAAATTAATGTCTACTTTAGGAATTCTTACACTTGGGAAATAAATGTACTCAGTGCTTTGTGTTTTTTGTTTTAAAAGGAAGAGCAATTTGTATTAGCCCAGCTACGGCTTGAGAAAGTGTTTTCTCCTAGCAAACAAAAGCATTCTAAAATCTTGAAACAGGCTGACAGCCCTTCTGGAACCCCAGTGAGACGAGTAGCTGTGATGATGTCCCCTGGCCAGAGAGACCGCCTCCTGAGTTGAGCAGGGAATTCGCCCAGAATCCATCTTCGTCCTCAGCTGAGGCGAAGCCAGAGAGCCAGTCAGAGGAAAAGCTTTAGGATAAGTCGGCCGTGTTAGGTCCCCAGTCAAGACCCATCAGCTAGTCTCTATTACTTATCAGACAGTGTAGACACCCGCCTTATGGCAAACTCAGCTGAAAATGCTTCCACCCTCCTCACGATTATTATGAATCACATCAGCCCTCCAAGTTGCTTGTGGACACTGCTTTTAATGTCCGGGGGTTCTGGGTCTTCCTTTGTCTCCGGTTCCTTAGCACACATGTTCCTCTGGGACACTTGAGTGGCCTGACCATCCAGCCGAAATCGTCCCAGGGAGTCTGCAGAGCCCTTGTCCAGTGGCACTGCACCCACACACCCCTCTTGTTTTCTAAAAGCTTAGTCCTTTCCGCTTTCCAGTGAGCCTTCTGCTGCCTTAGATGTAGAGTCCATGCCCAGTCATCCCATAGCTACATCCTGGGTGCCTGCCCCATGCCAGATGTCATTCTAGGTGCTGGGCTAACACTGATAGAATGGCCAGGGGCCCTCTTCTCATAGGGCTTCGTTCTAG